TCCAGAGAGTGGGTCCCGCTGGAAGTTTGGGTGGTTGGCAGAACTAAGACCCCCAGTTGGCGGTCTGCCTGGTCCAACATTTCTTACTGGATTCGACTGCTGTGGTCGAGGGGCTGAATTAGGTGGAGGCATCTGTGTGGCCTTAAAGGCCTGACGACAATTGGGGCAAAGGAGTGTTTGGTTAAGATATACTTTCAGATACTCATAGTGCATGTTGCACCGGAGGCAAAGGGTCCAGAAGGTGTCGATTCTTGGTTTCGATGGAGGACGGACAGAAGTGGGTGCCATCCGAGCACCACCACTGAGATTATTATGAATGCCATTCGCTCGTGTCGGGCCACCACTAGAATGCGCCGGAGGTTTTTGTTGATGAACTCTAGTTGATGTTCTCCGCTGGTTATAAATTAACCGTTTAGCTTTATCAGACAACAAGCTCCAAGCTTCTGACAGGAGTTTAAATGCCCCATCAGCACCAGGAAATTTGTTTTTATCGGGGTGAAGTATAAGAGCCAATTTCCTATACTGCTTCCTAACAGTTTCATCATCTGCGGTGGGGCTCACCCCCAGCACTCCATACCAATCAGTTTCTCCACTTAACTTATTTTCTGCAGATATATACACATCAAGAATTGTTAACAACTGGGGAAGTCCTTCTAGCCCTGGATACAATGCTTGTGCTTTGAAGACAAACTTTTTTGCACCAACGAAATCTCTCTGCTCTAACTTTGCCTCAGCAATTGATCTGGCCCTTTGAGCCTCATCTCTGTTACACTCCATATTCACCAAATGTTTTTTTCTGAAAGTTCTTCTGAATTACTTCTGCTCCCAACACTCCATTGGATGAACCAAAATGTACTTGAATCTAGCAATAAATTTAGCAATTTAAATAAGCAGAGGTCCTTTTGTTCATCAACTTCCAAATTGAGAGGAGAGTATATAGCGTTATTGCCAATTTACCATTACACCATAGTAAGGATAACCACTTGACACACTCCTCGCGTAAAGTAAACAACATAAAAGAAAACTACAATACTTAAGACAAATGACATTTTCCACGTTTTCCAGCTTATGTCCATGGTTTTGGGGGAAAATAGAATGAAATGTGTACAACATTTTTTTCTGGAAAACAATTTAGATACTGATTTTGTTTTATTATGCGTACGAAACCTACACTTGGAATGAAGAAAACAACATAAGGTTCCATGAGGAAGACCTATCTATTAATTAATTAGTATGTAAAAGAAAAAGAAATTTGTTATAGTGTTCCCACCTAAAGTGCTCCAAAGCAATAAATACGCCTAGTCGTAGTGAATTAATTCCACAAAATATGAATAGTAATGTAAAATAAAAAAGTGCTGTTCTGTATGATATCAAGCAGCTCCTTCTTGAGCCAAGTGCTATACAATGATATAAATGCAAATGCACAAGTCATAAGCACACCATCAACTTCCCTATTAACAGTAGCAAGATTTTGCCGATTGAGCACCACCGAAGAAGGCTTGAATTTAAAAAAAAATACAAATTGTGCATGTGTGGAAGTGTAAATCCTTTGTCGAGAAAAAAATACCTATGTGTTTTCTCTTGAAAGCCTCAAGACTGTTGATGTAAAATTGCAAAAAAATAATAGCATAGCAGCTATTGTATCGAATTACCAATTCCACTAAGTTTCTATTCCGCATATTGTTTTAATGCATATGTAAGTGTGAAATAATTCAAGGAACAAACTACCATGATAAAAAGGGTTAAACGAGGTCAGTAACACAAATTCTGAGTCTTCCAAAATTTGTGAAAGAAAAGCAAAGTGGATAGTTTTATCAAACAAAAGAAAAGAACAAAAACTGCTAACCAAATATTCTAAACAACACAAACACCCTTATATGAATAATTTTAAAAAAATTCAAAAAATAAATATAAATTTACAAAAATAAATAAATAAAAAGTTATGTTTGTTCTGGAAATAAATGCGGAGAGATATCCTTAAATCAGTCAAAAGTTCACTACGATTGCATTAAAAACCCTAAATTATATTTTGTTCAGTAAGCTGTTAAATTCATAATAACAAAGATCAGAACAAAAGAAACAAAACAATCCAGGATTCAGTTTTTTTTAAACCCACGTATGACCTTATATTATTCGAATCTGCTTACAAATCAAAAGCAGATTAGTCTACACAGGCAGCCCTTATATTGGTCGAATAATGAAAATTTTGATATGAAAAATTGGATCAGGCTCTCAAGTTACATGTGATGAAATAACATCAGAAATCCCAAACCTAATTTTATTTCGGTAATACAAAAACACGAAAAACAAGAGAAAATTACCTCTTAAGCCTTAAGTTGAGTAATCCGTTCAGGCAGCAAAAAGCTGTAAGCCATAAGTTGAAGCGTCAATAAGTAATTATTAACGGAGAAAATGGTGGAAAAGAGGTAATTGATGAAAGTAAATAGCATTTTACTTTTACGTTCTATTAGTTAGACCTGTACACCAGATAATCAAGGCTTGGGCGGTTAAGCAGACGAATCTGACATGGAATGGCGGTGGGAGATAGTGAGTGCAGATTGAAGCCGAGCAGATCTTATGGAGCTTTTCTGTTAGCCTTCTGAGTATCGATAAGAGGAGGGACGAGGATTACAGGGGTCGTCGTTTTTTATGTAAAGGGGGAGGAGAAGTGATGCGCGAAGGCAGTGAGGGGGGAAGAGATCACAAAAACAAAAAAATGGGAGAGTGAGCTAGGGTACATGTATTTTCTCCTTTTTAGTTAGAGTTATTTTATCTTAAAAATATTAAGGTCGCTTTTATTTGGAGTGTTTTTCGTTTCAGATCAGATTAAATCAGACTTAAACAGATGAGATCAGATCAGACCGAACTTAAACAAATCAAACTTAAACAGACCCTACCATACCAGACTTGACTTCGTAGTTATAAAATACACAGAGATCACACGCTTACCAGATGAGACCAGACCAGCTCAGACCAGATCACATCATACCAGATTAGACCAGACCAGACTAAATCACATCAGACCAGCAAATTACAGTCTAATTAAAGCTATCCTAAATTCTTGTAAATAGATATTTAATTTGATATTAAAAATTCTGTTGAAGGGACAAATTAGATTTTAATTTCTCAAATTGATATACAAAATCAAATTAAAATTTATTCATGTTAGTCACATGAATAATAAAATTACAAAGTCTAACCGAATGAAAAATAAAATTACAAAGTCTAACCGAATGAAAGAAGTATTCTTTTTCACATCTACATCTATATGTGGAATTGTATGACGAAAAGTTATCACCCTAGAGTGGTGAACGGTAAAGGACATATATGAGGGGTAAGAAGTGTTGTGATATTAGGCCTAGGCCCAAATGTCCGAAATGGGCTCATATGAGCCAATAATCCCAGCCCAACATATGTGGATCACCCATAAAAGTTGCGAAGTATGAACATGTATGTTCATCCACAAAGGTTGGACCCGGCCCGACACATAACAAATATGAGTGTCCTCATACGAGCCAATTATCCAAGCCCAATATATATGTGCCTCACCCATAAAAACTAGAGGAAAAGAGGCAAATAAGTTCTCGAACTATTTGTGCATGAACCAGAAGACTTGCAAATATAACCCCCAACTCATTAAATTTAAGTAAACAGATCCTTTTATACTTGTTGGTGCAAGTAAGGAGATGAGAAATTACCGACACCAACAGGTAAATAGGATCTGATTGCTGATTTTTCAAGGAGTTGAGGGGTGTAATGCAAATCGCAAATAGTTCAAAGGCTCATTTGCCCCTTTTCTCCATAAAAATTGACAAACGCATACGTTTATGTTAAGGGGAATTCTATATGTGGTCCTTGTTTTACTAAACAAAACCCTAATTAAAATTAATTAATAGAATATAAATTAAGTGCATATAGTATCCCTATTTATCCCAACATCATTCACAAACCACTTTCCTCCGATCTCCCATGAGCTTTTCTCAACTGGTCTACCGCGATTCCTTCAGTCCATCCGAAAATGATTTACTAGTATTACTTTGTGTATATGAAACTACAGTTATTGCTCCACCATAACGACGGTCTAAGTCTCCCTTTCAGGTTTGCGGTCACTGGTCAGAGAGAGACGATGTTGGGGACTTGGGGGTCTATAGTAGGTCTGATGTTGGAAGTTTCAGAGTTGCAGCGGCGAAGTCAGGGGCTGGAGGTCCGATTCCGGTTGAGGCGCCAAAGGTGGAGTGTTGTTGCCTCCTATAATGGGTCCCCGTCATCGTGGTGAAGCAATCATAAGCTCCTCGGTTGGAACCACAACCTTTGCCGCCAGGTCGCGAAATCCAATGGTGTTCTTTGGCAGGCCCACCTTCATAGAACATATTAGGTGATTGTCTGGTCTGCTCTCTCCTCGGTAGTAGAGTGATTACTGATTAGCGAGCCAAAGCAGATAAGAACTCCATTTTCGACAGACCCTTTTCTAGCATTATAGCTTGCCGGATATCCCTTGGTTCACGTTCTGAGACTCATAATCAAAGAGATAATCAACATCTTACGTATATACTTCTCGTCTCAGTCGAAGAAGTCCATAGGCTATAGCCGTCAAAGACATCAACGGGATGATGTTGGGATAATATAGTAGGCATTTTATTTATATTTAGTTAATTAATTATAATTAGGGGCTGTGTTTAGTAAAATACACGCTACATTTAGAATTACCCTTATGTTCATTACAAATGTTGGACCCAGGCCGGCACATAAGAACTATTAGAACATCTCCAATGGAGGGCTTTTAACAGTAAATAATTCATCCATGTCATCGAGTGGGAAAAGTGAATTATTTTTTCTCCTCCAATGTATTCTTTCTCTACCGCGGTTATGCTGATGTGTAAAAATTAGAAAAAAATGGCCTAACTATAACTCATGGTGTTTGAGTGGACATACGTATACCTATTTTTTGTGTGAACACAAAAGTGACCCGTCAGTACTCATCTTTTCATTTTTTCCCAACCGTTCGTACATAGGAGCCCAGGTCTTCTCCATCGCGTTAGAAGAGATGTCGCCTCCACCATCAAACATATCACAGGTCTTCTTCCCTCATCGGATCACCGCATCCACCAGAGCTCCATCAGTAGACACCGCCCGTCTCTATTTCGATTCTCTTCTTCGTCTTTCTTCTTCGCCAGTGAACGGATCTCGTTGTGAATGGAGGACAGACGCGGATAGGGTTTCGATCGTTATCTTCTTCTTCTTCATCTCTTCTATCGCCTCCCGTTCAAAATCAATTGGACACTTCCGTTCCAGATCTGCCAACGTTGGTGGCCAACGACTCGGATATGTCAGATCCACCGTCCTTGAAGTCGGAGATAAACCAGAACAGCCGGATGACCTCTTCCTCCGCTGCTTGGCCGCCTCTGCGTGGTTTCAGATCCGGGCGAGTGTGGTGGGCGGCTATGGAGGTGGGTTGACCCGCTAGAGAAACGTATGAGGCTGTCTGCTGGGGCTGAAGGTTATGGAAAGGGGGCTGGGTAAGGCAGGGAGCTGGGATGACGCAGGGGAGGGGGTGGGGTGACACGGGGAGGGGGTTGGGTGAGTAAATGGCTTTGTTGTGGTGGTTGCAGTCATTGGGCGGAGTTGGTGGATACAGGAGGCGGTGGCTGACGGAGGTGTCACTGTGACAGTAGGCGGGCAGTCAATGTGGCCGGAGTCACTGTGGTCATAGTCACCACAGCGGCGTAGTCACTGTGGCGGCGGAGTCAGTGTTGTGGCGGAATCACTATGGCGACGTAGTCACTAAGGCGGCATAGTCACTGTGGCGACAGTGACACGGGCGGCGGCGACAGTGACACAGGTCGTGGCTACAATGACAAATGTTGTGGCTACAGTGACAAATGCGGTGGCTACAGTGACACGAACGGTGGTACAGTGACACGGACGGTGTCTACAATGACACGGGCGGTGGCTACAGTGACACAGGCGGTGATTACAGTGACACGAGAGGTGGCTACAGTGACATGGGCGGTGACTATAGTGACATAGGCAGTAGTTACTGTGACACCGGTAGTGACATAAAATCTGATAGTGATAGTATGTTTTTTCAAATATATGACCTTATTAATCACTTTTTTGTCTTTTTGAGATATGGTCACATTTTAGGAAAGTGGCTTTAATTTAGTAATATTGAAGGCAAAAGCCCTAAAAATTAAATGTAAACAACGTCGATCATGCTTTGGAATATCTCACAGCCTGTTAAACAGTATGCCGCAGGAGAGAAGGGCTATCGTGCCGCATTATGAGCGGATTTTAGGCGAAAAAATTGGTTCGTGATTATTGCAACGTAGCACCCGAGTACAAATAGGAAACTCAGTGTGTAACTTATTTTTTAAATTTAGATTTACTTTAATTGATTTAAAAGCAAATAAATGCCACATAGTCTTCACACTTGATTTACCGAAAGTGCGCATTGGACAAGTTTTTGTATGTTTTATTTATTAGGCATAACAATGGTATTAGGTGGATAACTTCTTTATTCATCTTTTGACATGTGTCATCATTTTTGTACGGTTGAAATTTATTCATTAGAGATGCTCTTAGTGTGTTCAAATGAGCCAATAATCCCAGTCTAATATATGTGCGCATACACACAATAATCCTAGACCAATGTATGTGCACACACATATTATACATATAGCAAACACGGAGATATGTGTACACGTAATATCACACACACGTGTGTAGAGAAATGATCTTATCCAGCAGCCCTCGTCCGAACAGTGTCTGAACATGGCCATTTTGGGGCACTTCCTGGTGGATTTTTTTGATGAAATTTTTTAAGCATGTTCCTCATCACGTCTAGTTTGCCCATACCAAATTCAGCTCAAAATTCGCACATATTTTGATGCAGTCAACTTCAAAAAATAATTTGAATGTCTTCCCGAACGAATTTTGAGCTGAAATTTTATATGGACAAAGTAGACGTGATGAGGAACATGCTAAAAAAATTTCATCAAAAAAATCCACCTGGAAGTGTTCCAAATGGCCATGTTCGGACACTGTTCGGACCGGGGGCTGCTGGACAGGATCATTTATATATATATATGGATTCATTTAATATGGAACAAATTAAATTCGCATTTAAAATAAAGACAATAATTTTATATATAATGTCAATTTATATGTGTGCATCAAGGCATATGTATCTTTTTTGAACTCAAAATACATAAATAACTACATAGACATAATGAAAAACTTAAAAATTAAATTCAAATTTGTGACATAAATATTATGTATGGGCTATATGGCATGATGGACTATGAAGACTACAGAGTTTGGATAATACACGAACATGAACATGTTATATGTCACGTTTGTCGTGGGTTGGATCAAGCCCACTGCAATTATCAACCGAAACATAGTAAAAAGCTCAATCTCACCATGGGGTCAAACCATACGTTTTCTAAGTTTGGAAGGCCAGTAAGAAATTAGGATGTTTTCTTTTGGACTGTTTTCAGTCTCAGACTAGACTAGACAAGACTAGATCAGATCAGACCAGACCAAACTAGACTTCCGTAGTTATAAAATACACAGTGACCAGACATTTACCAGACTAGTTTAGACCAGACCAGATCAGACAGACCAGCAAATTTCAATCCAAAAGAAAACATTCTTAAAAGACATATTCTCTTAAATACCACTCCGTTCTCTATACAATATTAAAGTTAAATTCTAACTTAAATTGGAAGGGAGGAAGAGATCAGATGTGAGATAATCGAGTATGAGGTCGTGAGGCGTTAAAGCAATGAATGATCGAGAGAGATCAGATGTAAGATAATCGAGTATGAGGCCGTGAGGTGTTAAAGCAATGAATGATCGGGATTCAGGATTTTAGTGTCATTGAGCATGAGCGAGGTAAGAACCAAAATGTATTAGGAGTAAAATTAAACTCTATGGAGACGTTTACTTCGCTGCTAAAGTCACAGTTATGTTAGTAAGATGAGTGAAGTAAACACGCACGCTGCTTAAAAAACCGCTTACTAACATAAAGAGGTGCTTAAAGTGTCGCTTACTAAGCATACCACTCCCCCATGAATAATTAAGCGGCACTTTAAGCTTTTTCAGTTTCCGAATTTACCCCTGGTCCTTACCCTATTGTTACCCCTCTACCCGTTACCCCACCCCGCCGCCCTACCCCCCCGATCATTACACCACCCCACCCAACCCCTTTCTCTTACAACGACCCTACCCCACCCCACCTCGGCCCCACCTCAATCCATAGCTATCGCCACCCCTACCACATCGACCTTACCCGACCCACCCTACCATACCCCCACCCCTGATCCCGACCCCACATCCTACCCTACCCCTTACCCCCACCCTACCTCACACTGACCCCACCCCTACCACAAGCCTTTACCTCGGGCCCCACCCTGATCCCGACCCCACTCTACCGCCATCCTACCCTACTTACCTCGACCTCAACCTACCCCTACCTCGGCCCCACCTGATCCCGACCCCAACGACCGCCACCCTACCCCTACCCTACCTACCTCACCCTGACCCGATGCCGCCCTACCCCACCCCCACCCTAACCTCCCTACAACCCCCTACCTCGGCCCCACCCTGATCCAGACCCCACATCTAACCTACCCCTACCTCGGCCCCACCCTCTACCCTACATGCCCCTACCTCGGTCGCACCCTGATCCCGACCCCCACCCCCTACCGTGACCCTACCCTACTTACCCCGACCCCACCCCCTACCCCTACCCCCTTACCCCTACCCTGTCCACAATACCCCCTACCCCTACCTCGGCCCCACCCCGATCCCGACACCACCCGACACCACACCCCTTACCCAGCCCCACCCTACCCCTACCACATACTCTACCTCGGCCCCACCCTGATCTCGAATCCACCCTGCCCTAACCTACCTTACCCCCGATCCCGCCTCCCTACTCACCCGACCCAACCGTACCCACCATCTTACCCCTAACCATGACCCTACCCAACTCCCCCTATGCCCCTACCTCGGCCCCCCACCCCGATCCCAACCCCAACCCCACCCCTAACCACCCCCTTACCCTTACCACATGCCTCTACCTCGGCCCCACCCCGATCCTGACCCCACTCTACCGCCATCCTACTCCCACCCCTATCGTGGTAAGGGTAGAGGTAGGAGTCAAGTGTGTGGAATTGGGGATATGGTGTAGGGTTAGGGGTTAGGGATAGGGTGGGGGAACGGGGGACGCGGGAATTTCCGGTAGTAGGGGCAGCAGTACAAAAATATACATACAAATACGTATACATTAAAAATTTCAGAGTAAATATACCTAGAATTTTTTTGGAGGGGCAGCAGCCCCCCTTTGTCACCCCCTGTGTTCGCCACTGGGTATGAGTACATGTACGAGGTGACCCCACATATTATATTATATACTTGTGTTCATGAATGTTTATGTGTCTATATATGTAAACACATAAATAAGCGCCGTTGGACATTTTAATGTTAAACAATGTTTTAAAGCCTTTGAAGTAAACACGATCTTACAACATTGCTTATTTTATGCGCCGCTTATTAACGTGGGTCTTAATAAACACCATTTAGTAACCTGTGAAGTAAACGTGTCCTACGTGTTAAAAAATTATGCCATGTAAGCATAATCATTAAGACATTGATCAATATATAGTTAGTAACTAGCGTTAATGGACAAACCCTCAATGAAACACAAATTTGTATGGAGAAATTTTTTATGAAAACTTAGAGATTGCTTACTTTTTCTCTACTAAGTTTTGTCAGATTAAGACGTGTATCTGAGTAAAAGTGTCTTCCTTGATTAGGTGATACATAGTATTTGTATATGAGTTTGTTTATTTTGTACGTTGAATAAAAAATTGAGTCGAGTAAAACAATTAATTTAGTATTATTTTTAGATTAAAATGACAATTTTGAAAAATTGACAAAAAAACATCGTAATAGATTTTTTAATGGTAATAACTATTATAGTGCTCTGTAGCTGTAAAATTGGTATTGTTCGGTGAACGCTGCATGAACAACCAGATCTGGTGCCAGTTGTTTGTGTTGCATCGCTAACGGAGTAACCGGGCTATTCATACACGGTCATATCTAGTTAGAAGATCTGCTTCTTTTTTTCCTCTAGGGTGTTCACCCTCAGGACCTCAAGAGATAAGAACTGCAATGTCAATAATACTGATCTCATAAATTCCTACCTCTTTCTCGAAGCTCTCCTCACAATCTCACTCCTGGACATAGTTGCGGACTAGTGGATTGCTAATCAGATTAGGGTTCTTGCGTGTATCAGTGTGTAATTGCTAATCATATTATATCCATGATCCATCGCTTGACGACCCTCCTTCTTGTTCCAATTACGTAGCAGTAAGATTCCAATCTTTTAATTTTTACTGTTTTGAATCGCTACACGTTTGTCAAATGAATGTTCATCTTCACTCTAGGCTTTGCGTTTTTTTATTCTTCACTTTTTTTCTTTCTAACTTTGCTTCATTCATTATGTGATCTTCGAATTGGTTCAATATTTCCTTTATAAAATCTAAGCAAGTCTTAAAATTAATCTTTATCTTTAGTGTAGATTTTGAGCTTGACATTTGACAAATTATCTGTTGCCTGTAGGTAAGCTTTAATCTTTAGCGTTCTATATGATGTTTCTCTTGTTAAGATTTAGTGGTTCTTGAATGTTTCCACATGCTTGTTCATTTTACTTTGTGTTCTAAGAATTCGTTCTAAAATTCTCACTCTGAGCAGGTACTAAACTTTATTCTTAAACGAGTTAAATCTTTAATGAATGTCTTAATTTAAGCTTTCATGTTTATTCCTCGGTGATATCTGCAACTTTTCTCTTGTGTTGTGCTCTCTACTATAATTACATACATTCCTTGAGCTGGTATATGAGGACCCCTTCCGAGTCTATATTCGAGAAATATCATCTTCGTGACTCTCACCTCTCTGTTTATACCAAGCTAAGTCAGATTTTCCATGGGTTGAAGTATTCATTCTCCTATTATAAACCCAACTCTTCTTACAACTGCATTCACCATTAGTGTGACACTGTGACCGTAAGTCTAATAGATCTTAACTATTGTCTTTGTGTGATTGCATTCTATGTACTTAAGTAATTAGTGCATAGAAGAACGGGATACTTATAAATAATAATTTACACGAGTGCTTTTGCTTATTTTGTTGTAAAAGTTTGTAGATTATTTTTAAAAGGCACCATTATAAGTAAATGTTTTTCCATCATTTGCAATAGAGCCAAAGATTCATTATTTTTTTGGTTTGAGAATATGATGGAATAAAGCAAAATGGCTCACTAAACTGTATGCGTTTCCTTGTTATGAAGCAGCAGTCAGTCCATGCAATTTTGGACGCGATTTTCACTATAGGTCATCCGGAAACGGTCTCTCTGTGCTTTAGTACAAGGGTAAAACTACGTACATCCGACCCCCCTTTACCCCACCATAGGTGGGAGCCTTTGCGGCACTGGGGTAAATGAAAATGAAAATGAAATGAAATGACCATTATAAGTAAAAGTTTTATTTTTTCACTTTCTCATTAAAGCATGGCATGTCTCATTTTTTTTGGTTTTTTTTCAATTAGAGTTTGCATGCTATATAAAAAATATTTTAACTTAACACAGGGGCAGTACATTCATTCTCCATATTTGATAATGATCATTCATGTTCTATAATTTAAAAAATGATTCACTTGTTTTCTTTTTTAAATGCCTTCGGTACTCTATTAGTTTACCCTATAAAAATTAATTGGATATATTGAGACCAGCAAGGATCATGGAAGATAACAGTAATGAAAAATCAGATGAAGTAGGAGTTAATTGTTATTCAGACTATGTTTTTCATAAGTTGAGGACTATTATTTCATCCACAAAAACATTATTGGTAGTGCCTAAGCAAGAATGTCATTTTTTGTTATTGCATAACAGAGCTGTGACTATAGTAATTTATTCAGAATTTCAGATAATCTGCTGTCCATGATTAGATCAACTGAAGAAGAAAAATAAACTTAACAAACTAAAGTTGATGGTATTTGTGTATTATCATGATGTATTCTTCTCCAGTATTTATCTTTTTTTTTTACATCTTTTATTTATTTGTTTTGCTACCAGTAGTTTTCCATGGTGAAATACGTAGTATATTAATTCATCAGTGAAGAAACCTGTTTATTTTCACTATAAAAATTAACATTGAGACATTTTAAAGCCGTTTAGAGTATACCACCTCATATTTACGATATATAGGGTCACCTATTTTGTTTAATTCTTTATTATGATTACCTGAAGACAGCAACACTACAATACTTTTTTATTTTATAAATAACATTCACTAGCTTTGAGCTGCTCATGCATGTAGTAGTTAACACTCACTAACCTTTTTTTACATTTTCTGAAACTAAAGTTCTAAACAAAAAGTAATAGTGGATAATAGGAAGAAAGTCATAGTGGATAATTGGAATACCTTTGGATTGTATTATTGTAAATTGGGGCTAGGTGTAGATTATAGTTTTCGCTTTTTGATTGGCTCAAGTAATAATCAGTTGATTTGGTTTGAAACAGCTTAACCGGGCAATCAAAATTGTCAAGACTATAAAAACGTATGAAGTCTAATATTAATTCTACAATAACAAGCACACATCTTAGAAAGCATGTTAACTCAATTTATATCAGTCTATTTAAAGTTAGAAACTTAGAATCTTAGATATTGCACAGGTGCACCTTAGTTAGGCCTTAGAAGAGTGTCTCAACAAAATTTGACACCAGAGGGCATGCTTTTTAAAATTTTCAACCGGCAGAAGGGGCGTATATTCAAATACATATTGTTAGTGTTGTCAGTTGTGGTTGTTAATTTGGCAAAAACATTCTGAGTTTGAGTTCGGCTCGATTTAGCAATAGTGGTGTTCAGGTTTGAGCTCAAACCTCAACGAGATTTACACCTGAGGGATCGGGTTCAACTAGATAGATATTCAATGTTTGATTAGAATGTATAAGCTAAGCTCATGTTATTTAATTACCTCGTGCTCAGATTATTCAACTAGTAATTGATTCGTTAATAATCCTATTTAAATTTAGAGAGTTATATTAAAGAAGTTTACATTTTAGCACACATACATGTTGACATGCATTGCTGAATCCGTTCTGTAATTATTTTTCTCTCTATAAGCAACTTCCAATATATTTTGCAATGAAATTTGCATTTTTTGGTGAAATTCGTATTGCGGTTCCATTGAAAGATAAATAATGGATATGAGTGTTTGAATACGAAATCAAGTTCAGACTTGAAATTCATTAGACCATTACTTGCCCGCAGTTTCAAAAATTTCCAATCTGGTCTATTCGCGAATTTGGACTTTGAATGTTCACTTTTTGTCAAATTATGCTAATATTATTTTTCTGATTTCATTGTTAGAAAATGTTTAATGCTAGGACAAATCTGTTCTATGTAGGGGCACAAAGAGGTCTCCAGCCGCGGTGGAGAGGACATAACTAAACGGCATCATTTTCATATATGACAGTGTAGATTTTGCAAATCTGCCAATAAAGGTACAAGTGAGAAACCTTTTATCCGACTATACCAACGAATTCAGAGGAGAAGAAGACATGGCGGCGAAGCAGGTTTACCGTCTATTTACGTCAATGATCGCAGAGGCTAAGCCCAATTCATACACCATGTCAGAGTATTCACCAAGTCGACTCATTTGCTCATCAGCTAAGAGATTTCATGTCCACAAAGAGAATCAACAAGATCTCGCTGAGACGCTCTCAGAGGAGAAGGATAAGGTTCAAACCGAAGATGGGACTGTTTCTAATCAAGAATCTCAAAACGAAGAGGACGGTGGAAAAGATGGTAGTGGTAATGATGTGAATAGAGAAACTGGAGAAATTGGAGGCCCTAAAGGTCCGGAACCAACACGCTATGGAGATTGGGAGAGAGGTGGTCGCTGCTCTGATTTCTGAAAAAGGTTTCTGTGTTTTTTACCTTGATGAATTTTTAATAAACCACCGTATCAAAAGTTGGTCATCCAGCATCCTGCGTCAATCCACCACAATGGCTTTTCGTTTTTCTTTCTCTCGTTATTATGCTTCAGTAATTAGTATATTACTTCGTACTTCATAATTTCATATATAGCATTTGGATAACCCAATGTCTTCATATGTTTACTGTCAAATTTAACATTGCATTATCTGTATTGTGTGCCTGTATGTCAGTATTTGTATGTAATCTCATCAAGTTCATTTGATCCTTGGAAAGTTGGACACTTCATCAAGTCACGCATGTCATGTAAGTCATGACATCCCAAGAAATGCAAAAACTTTGCAAACTTAACTAATCTGAGCACCCTAAAATCATTTAAGGAGTATATTATAGGTAGTAACATTATATAGTTCCAGGCACTAAGACCGTTTGTAGTTTGTAGTGGGCTGTGGGGGTAGAATGAGGGGTCAAAAGTTCTCAATTAATTAACTCTTAATAATTCTTTATATTGGTGGGCTTTTGAGAGGGATAAGTGAGAAGGGATCAATTTTGCGCCACCCGATCGACTCTCATGGCAGGGCAGAGACCAGAGTAGAATAAAGGGCAAAAAAAAGGGTCAACATGCAAGCATGTCAGCCTGGCACAATACATTTCAGCCACGCGTAGTGGGAATGTAATAGTGTGGGTGCCATCAGCGTTAGACCTGCTGCCTCCACAAGACCACAAGTTAGGCTTTTCATAAATTTTTTGTCCATTATGTGTGGGTGGGCCTGACTCAGGCGTAAAAACAGGCCTTACTACATGTTCATATCCGATCGTAAGAACAGGCCGAATAGTCCACCTTGCCACCCTGCTGAGAAAAACTTTAAATTTTTCAAAAGGAGAAATATTAAAAAGACACTTCTACTATTGTCAATCCATCACTTAAGTTCTTGTACTAAAAAAGTATTATAAAAGTACATTTACTTCTAAAATATAATCATTCAAGCCCTTTTGACCTGCTATAGCTAGCAAGTTAACTACCTTTTGAAAATATATTAGGATAATTGATAAATCTTACTATATCCGTATTTAAAAGTTTGTAGACTTTCTTATTTGTGAAGTATTTAAAAGTTTGCTACACTTTTTCTTTTTGGTAAGTTTTCCTTTAAAAATACTCAATTACCCCTTACTTTTTATACTTTATATCTTTCCTTTCCTACTTTTTCTACACTATTCATTACTCCTACTATTCTTTCCTTAATTCTTGTGCAGTTGTGCCAACACCTAATGTAGAGATCATTTAAATACGGAGGGAGCATAAAAGTTCATATGTAGTATATATTTGAAAAATAATGTAATAATATAAAAATAGTATACATGCAGAATTAGATAAATAATTTTAAAATATTTAAAAAAAAGTTAAAAAATAAAAAAATGTAAAAAGTACAAAATATAAAAATCTTAAAATATTACAAAAAGCTGTAGAATAACAAATAATTCCAAAAATATAATGAATATTGACTTTGACATTTTGGGATTTCCCCCAAATTTATCACAATTCCTCAAAATTTTTTACAATTGTTTTAGATTTTTTAATTTAAATAACCAGCTATTATAGGTTAAAAACTAATTAAATGACTAAATTGATTGTATTTTAGAAGTAAAGGTATTTATATGATGATTTTTTAGTAAAAGGGCTTAAATTATGGATTGCCAATAGTAGAAGTGTTTATTTGACCGTTTTTCCTTTTCAAAATCATATAATTCTTTTAATATTTTTAAAATAATATTACAACATTTAAAAAATTGTTAATACGCTTATAATGTTTATAGGCCTTTCGTAACATACACAAAAAATACTTATACAAAAAATAATAATGAGAAAGTATAACTAAAACTTAAAATTCAAGTACAAAGTATTATCTTTAAGTACAAAAATAGATATTACATTGATTGAACTAGTTGTTAATGTGACACCGCACCCGGATGTACTTGAATTTGAAATTTGATACGTATTTGAATTTCTGGCGAATAAAATCGTGTAGCAGATTGGGTACATGTAATTAATGCATGATAAATTAAATTATTTATCGGGCCCGTAATATTGAGAATGAGCTATCAAATATTTAGTTGGGTTATCGTAATAATCCTAAGAGCCCAATAAAGTGCCAACCAAAGTTGACAATAATATTTGGACAACCCGAGTATTATTTTGGCCCAACCTGTCAAAAATAGCAAGAATAATTGGGAGAGACTTCCTATACCCGAATTGGGACTTTTCCCCAAGTATTGTGTACTCAAAATATTGATTTTGAGACAATTAAACATGGGAGGGGCGGACTCATTGGGGGATGGGATTGCACAAGACAAAACATCACTCCCTTGGCCACACCCTTACATTATTTTTGGTGTTTGATTGAGGATAGATACATCCCCTTCATTCTACACCATACGCACCAAGTCAAGAGAGGGAGAAGCTTTGGGAGAAGGCTCTCACAAGGTCTGAACGTGGGAGGAGCAAAGGGCAAGGAAATCCCAAAAGAAAACTAGCTAGGAGGAAGGTAAGAACTCAAATAGTTCTTTAGCTAGTATTAATTTTGTATGATTTTTAAGAAATCATATGATGGATTAAACATGAAGTTCTACACGTTTAAAAGTGTAAAATAATGTTATAAAGTGGTGGTATTTAACTTAGAAGAGTCGTGGAATCGATAGGAGTTGAAACCGCCGGAAACCGCCAAGTATAGGAGGCTGTTCGTAGCTACAGACCACGAAAGCCGCCCACCTTTCACGAAAGCCGCCCGGCTTTCGTCTGCTGTCCAGATTTTTCATCTCCAATCGGTTTAGAACGAGGATTGATCGGAGGGCTTAACAAAGGCGACTATTTCAGCACTTCATAAGGTGAGGATGGCTGACTATATTGCTTATAATCTTTGGGTTAATTTCATAAGATTACCTAAAGTAATTAAATGTGATTTTCATGGATTATTAATGATTAATAATGCCTAAATGAAAATATCATTGTTTGTGAATAGAAGATGCATAACATACAAATTTATGAGAAATTGTGTATGATGATGCATAATAAATGTGAAGGTATAATGATTGTATAAACCATGAATTTTTGTGATAAAACATACTTTTACTTCATGTATAGAAATCATGAATGGATAAAAGTGATATTTTTGATATTGAGATTAAATCGTATACGGATTAGAAAATCCATATGAATGAGCCTTATAACTATGAGTTAAGGAGCTTGACTGTTTAAAGATTTATGGATTAGTATTTAATTTACTAATCGGGAATGTTGTATAAAAAGTGATAGAACAAATCCTAAGGACTTGGATTATGAAGGATGCACCTTAAGTAGTCTTATGAGATGCCTTAAGGTAGGAATGGGTAACCACTAAGTTACATTAGGAGTAGGCCTCATTGGCTACTCAAGATTGAGGAACTCTAGGCATAGAATTTGCTAGTGAGTTAGTATCGTGACTAGAGGAAGCCTCTAGCACGATTAAGAATGACTGGAGGAAGCCTCCAGCATTCGTGTAGGACGACTAGAGGAAGCCTCTAGCGTAGTGTAGGATGACTAGAGGAAGCCTATAGCATAATGTAATGTGACTGGAGGAAGCCTCCAGCACAAAGTATGTAAGGTGATTAGAGGAAGCCTCTAACACCGAATTTAGTGACTAGAGTAAGCCTCTAGCACGGCAAAACATGATTAGAGGAAGCCTCTAGCATAAGGTAATGTGACTGGAGGAAGCCTCCAGCACAAAGTATGTAAGGTGATTAGAGGAAGCCTCTAACACCGAATTTAGTGACTAGAGTAAGCCTCTAGCACGGCAAAACATGACTAGAGGAAGCCTCTAGCATGGTGAATTAATATAGATGGGCGTGGCTTGAAGTCACGGGGAAAGGGTTGAACGTTTTCAAAGTAAAACATGGGTCTTCGGGCCGACTACTTGACTTTATATATAAAGTAAGTATATTTTCAAAGAGGGTAACCACGGGTTATGACCTATATTATATTATCACCCTATGTGAGGGTCTTGGAAATTGAAACTTTGATTATACTTAGTATAGTTGTCATTGTACTTGTCAAATGCTTCCAAGTACTGACCTCCCCTTCACGGGGGAGGCCACCTCACAGTTTCAGGTAGGAGTTGAGCTCGCTTCAAATACTCGTTGCTTCGAGGGAGGATCCAGGAGGGAAGACGTGGTTCGTGCTTCCTCCGTTTCTGTTTTTAAAACTATTACATTAATGCTCATGGATATTATTTTTGAATAATTATTTGAGGGCTTGTATGCCCATGTTCGCCAAAGTGTGGCATAAACACTTTATTAAATGTTTCCGCTGTTTTAATTAATTATTTTACATTATGATTGTTTATGGATGTACTATTGTGAATGGTATTCAAGACGCCTTGTATGGTATGGATGAGTTGGACTGCGGTTGACTATTCGTACTGTACGGCGGGTTGTTGACGTGTCCGGTAGGTCCGGGGCGTGACAATTTAATTGGTATCAGAGACTTAGTCCGTAAACTTCATAATGAAGCTTCAAAATCCTTTTTGAAAATGATTTTGAAAACCATGAGCATAAAGTTTTGTACTTATAGAACTTTTGGTACTTGAGTTGCAAGGTCTCTAATTGTTAAGATGGTACCCTTAACAATTGGCATGGCGGCGACTTGAGCCAAAGGATGTCTTAAGTACTTATCCGTCAATTAACATTTCATACGAGTCTGATGACTCATTCTCAATTCCTTTCAGAAATGGAACGTACCGGGAAAGTAACTAGAAGGAACCCGACTGGCCAGGCACCGAGAGGGTCCGTGCAAGGCAGTAGAGGGGCTTCTAGAGTGTCCAGGGGACAAGGCCGTGGAGGCCAAGCTCAGACCGTGAGTGACGGTCATGTTGAAATGGTAAATGAGTCTTATGAGTCCGAGGAGGATTCAACGTATCAACCGGGAACAGAGCCGGTTGAGACCCCATATGATGGGGAATATGATGATGTGAGTGAACAGAGCGATGATAATGACGCGCTTGAAAGAATGGAGGAACTACTCCGACAGTATCAACAAGATCGTCAAAGGCGCCAGGCAAGGCGTGCTTTGGAAGGGGCTTCAAGAAGAGGAAGCCATGTGGGATCTAGAGGACATGTAGAGTCCCGAGTAGATCGGGGTGCTGAGGTCCCAATAATAAGGATCTCGAAGTACCTCAAAGAAGCGAGAGATTTGGGGTGTAAGCCGTTCGATGGAACGGGAGATATCTCCGTTGCGGCAGAGTGGATCAAGAGATTCAACGAAGCGGCTCTTGACATGGAGCTGCCGCCGATCATGAAGTTGAGAGTGGCAACGAGG